CACTTGGAATTGGGGCAGAGGTTGCTTCCCATGCCACAGGAAGGAGGTAGCCTGGTACAGTGGGAAAAAAATACAAAACAACACTGTTCAAATACTGCCTCGCATGCTCACTGTGACCTGTGTGACCTTGGGACAGTCATTTAACTCCAGAGGCCTATCATCTTCTCTGTTAAATGAGATGATTGGACTAAATGACCTTTAAAATCCCCTTTCCAAACAGATCTATGATCCTAAGTCACTTAATCTCCCTAGGCCTCTTTTCCTGCACCTGTAAAAGAGGGCTGGGTGGGTATTGAATTAACTTGTCCTATGACTCTGTCATTGACTGGCCTGGATCTTAAGCCCAGATAAACTGAACAGAATGGGACTGCTATTTTCTCTCTGTAACTCTAAGCTGCCAAACAGTTTTCATAGAAGGATACCCTGAAGGGGAATTCCCTTTACTAATGAAATTACAATTCTGGGCCCAAAACCAACAAACAAACATTCCAAGTAGTGGTACGGTGCCAGAGTTCAGTGGAGTACTGTTAAATGGGTAATCTAGTCACCTGAAATAGATGGCGGCCAGAGCTCACCTCTCTCTTTTACCTCAAGAGCCTCCCATAGGGCTGAGAAGCTTGTGAGAACTGGTAGATTCTAAGCTCCCTGAGGGCAGGAACTATCATTTTTTTTTAATCTTTGTATTACCGGCACCTCGCCCATAATGACTGGGGCTTAAACTTTGTCTGTTGAATGGAGAAGGTGGGGTGGGGAGGGTGGGAAGGCAGTGGGGAGGAAGAGGAAAGGACAAAGGGAGAAGTGGAGAACCTAGGAAAATAAGAAGGAAGAGCTAAGAGGGAGAAGGAAAAAAGGAGGGAGAAGGAGCCTACAGGAACATTTCCTATATTTGTCCTTGCCACTATCTCAAATCCACATAAGGAAAGAATATGAGACCTGGGAGGGGCTTTAGAACAGGGGAATGCCAGAGCTGGGAGGGGCCTTAGAAGAATGTCATCACTGGGATGCTGAATTCCAGCTTGTATCTCTGACATCTCTTCCCATGGTTTTCATACTATTAACATGTTCAAAACAACATTAATTATCCTTTCCCCTTAAATCCATCCCTCCTCCTAACTTCCCTATTAAAGATATCCTTCTAGTCACACAGAGGATCAAAACCTCAGAGACAGCTTTGATTCTTCTTTTCCCACATCTAATCAGTTCCCAAGGTTTATTGATTCTCAGTATCTCTCATATTAGCAAGGAGATTATAGCAATATATCACAATATATACACTATGACCAGGTAGAATTTATACCAGGATTGCAGGGCTGGTTCAATATTAGGAAAATTATCAGCATAATTGACCATATCAATAACAAAACCAACAAAAACCACATGATTTTCTCAATAAGATGCAGAAAAAACTTTTGATAAAATACAGCACCCATTCCTTTTACAAACCCTAGAGAGCATAAGAATAAATGGAACTTTCCTTCAAAACAAGCAATAGCTATCTAAAACCATCAGCAAGTATTATCTATAATAGAGTAAGCTAGAAGCCTTTCCAATAAGATCAGGGGTGTAGCAAGGATACCCATTATCACCACTACTATTCAATAATATGCCAGAAATGCTAGTTATAGCAATAAGAGAAGAAACAGAAATTGACAGAATTAGAATAGGCAATTAGGAAACAAAGCTATCACTGTTTGCTGATGATATGATGGTATACTAAGAGAATCCTAGAGAATCCACTAAAAAATTAGTTGAAATAATTCACAACGTTAGCAAAGTTGCAGGATATAAAATACACCTATATAAATCATCAGCATTTCTGTATATTACCAACACAATCCAGCAGCAAGATATAGAGAAATTCCATTTAAAATAACTGTAGATAATATAAAAAACTTGGGAGTCTACTCTCCAAGACAAACTCAAGAACTATATGAACATAATCATAAAATACTTTTCACACACATAGGGTCAGATCTAAACAATTGGAAAAATATTAATTACTCACAGGTAGGCTAAATCAATGTAATAAAAATGACAATTCTACCTAAATTAATTTACTTATTCAGTGCCATACCGATCAAACTGCCAAATATTATTTTATAGAGCTAAAAAAATAAGAACAGAATTAATCTGGAAGAACAAAAGGTCAAGAATATCTAGGGAATTCATGAAAAATAAATGTGAAGGAAAGTGGCCCAGCAATACTAGATCTCAAAATATATTCTAAAGCTGTAATCATTGAAACAATCTGAAACTGGCTGAGGAATAGAGTAGTGGATCAGTGGAATAGATTAGTACACAGTAAATAGCAGTGAATGAACATAATCGTCTAGTGTTTGACAAACCCAAGGATACAAGCTTTTCAGACACAAACTCACCATTTGACAAAAGCTTCTGGGAAAATTGGAAAAGAGTTTGGCAGAAAGTAGGTATAGACCAACATCTTACGTAGCGTACCAAGATAAGGTCAAAATGGGTACATGATTTAGACATAAAGGGCGATACCACAAGCAAATTAGGAGAGCAAAGAATAGTTTACCTGTCAGATCTATGGATGAGGGAAGAGTTTATGACCAAACAAGAGATTGAGAACATTATGAGATATAAAATGGATGATTTTGATTATATTAAATTGAAAAGGTTTTGCACAAACAAGACCACTGCAGGCAAGATTAGAAAGGAAGCAGAAAACTGGGAACCATTTTTTTTTTACAGTGTCTCTAATAAAGGCCTTATTTTTCAAATACGTAGAGAACTGAGTCAAATTTATAAGGATACAAGTCATTCCTCAATTGATCAATGGTCAAAGGAGATGAGAAGGCAGTTTCTAGATGAAGAAATCAAAGCTATCTATAGTCATGTGAAAAAATGCTCTAAATCACTATTGAGTAGAGAAATGCAAATTAAAACAACTCAGAGATACGACTTAACACCTATCCGACTGGCTAATATGACAGAGCAGGAAAATGATAAATGTTGGAGGGGATGTAGGAAAATTAACACTAATGCATTGTTGGTAGAGTTGCAAACTTATCCAACCATTCTGGAAAGTAATTTGGAGCTATGGCCAAAGGGCTATAAAACTGTGCATAATCACTGCCCCAGTTAATACCACTACTGGGTCTATATTCCAAAGAGATTTTAAAAAAGGAAAAGGACATATCTGTACAAAAAATTTATAGCAGCTCTTTTTGTGGTGGCAAAGAATTGGAAGTTGAGGGGATGTTCATCAATTGGGGAATAGTTGAACAAGTTATGGTATATGATTGTAATGGAACACTATCGTGAAGAAATGACAAGCAGGATGGTTTCAGAAAAACCTGAAAAGACTTAGATGAACTGATAAAAACTGAGGTGAGCAGAAGCAGGAGAACATTGTACAAGTAACAGCAATGTGGTATAATGATCAATTGTGAATGACTTGGTTATTCTCGGCAATACGACTCAAGACAATCCCAGAGGACTCATGATGAAAAATGCTATCCACCTCCAGAGAAAGAACTGATGGCGTCTGAATGCAGACCAAGGCATGCTATTTTTCTCTTTCTTTTGTGTATGTGTGTGGTTTTTTTTATTGGTCTGTGTTTTCTTTCACAAAATGACTAACACGGAAAAATGTTTAGCTTGATTGCACATATATAACCTACATCAAATTGTTTACCATCTTGGGGTGGGGGGAGAATTTGGAACTCAAAAAGATTTTTAAGAGAATATTAAAAATTGTTTTTTACATGTAATTGGAAAAAATAAAACGTCATTAAAGAAACATGTCTCATGCGATTCTCTTCTTTCCACTCACACAGCCATCACCTTGGTCAGCTGCTTCTTAGCTCTATATAGCAATACCTTCCTAACTGGTTATCCTGCATTCAGCGCCTCCCAGTCCTGATCCCTCTTCTGCAAAGCTGTCAAAGAGTTAATTCTAAAGCACAGGAATGAGCATGTCACTCTTCAGCTGAAGAAGCTTTGGTGGCTCCCAACTACCTCTAGGATAAAACTGAAACTTGTAAATTTGGTGTTTAAAGCCCTTCACAATTCATCCTCAACCTCACTGGTCGTCCCTGGCAATGCCATGCCTGGCATTCTCTCCCTTTTTATATTCTCCTCCTGGCTGCCCTGACTTCCTTCAGGTCCCAACTCAAATTCTACCTTCTTCAAGAGTTTTTTCTCTGCCCTCCTTAATCTTAATGCCTTCCTCTTTATGCTGATTATCTAAATTATTTGTTACGTATCTTAACGATGACAATAATAGTAGTAATAGTTAGCATTTATATAATGCTCACTGTGTGCCCGGCACTGTGCTAAGCGCTTTACAAATATTATCTCATTTGATTCTCACAACAACCCTGGGAAATAGGTGCTATCATTATCCCCATTTTATAGCTTGGGAAACTGAGGCAAATAGAGGTCAAATGACTTGGCCAGGGTCACACAGCTAGGAAGTGTCTGAGACCAGATTTGAACTCAAATCTTCCTGACTCTGGGCCCAAACCTCAATCCACTTCATCCCTAGCTGCTCAATCTTGCTTGTACATAATTGTCTGTTGTCTACCCTGTTAGACTGTAAACTCCTTGAGAGCAGGAACCACTTTTTTTTGCCTTTCTTTGTATATTCAGCATGTTGGTGCTTAATAAGTGTTTGTTTATGTGACTGGTTACATGGTACTACCCTTCATGGATTCTTTATTTCAACCAAACTGACCTATTTGCTCTTCTATGTACAAGATAACCCATCTCTCACCTCCATAACTTTGCACACACTGTCCCCCACGCCTGGACTGCTCTCCCTCTTTGCTTACATTTCTTGAAACACCTAGCTCCCTTCATTTCCTATGCCACCCTACAAAAGGCCTTTCCTTGTTTTCTTAGCTGTTAGGGCCTCCCTCCCCGTTCTGAAAGCACCAAGCCTTTATTTTGTATTTATTTATCTGAGTCCATGTTGCTTCTGGCCATTAGCGTATGAGCTCCTCGGGCTGAAGGAGCTGCTTTGTTTTGGGTGTTTGTATCCTCAGGCCCCAGCAGAGTGCTTGGCATCTAAACGTTGCTGATCCGAGGCAGGCAGGGGATATGGCGGGGTAGGGAGCTGGACTCGGAAGTCAGGAGGACTTGGGTTCAAGTTGTGGCTGTGTGACCCCAAGTAAGTCATTTGCTCTAAGCAGCTTTAAGCTGTAGAACAGAGACAGATCTGTTCTAATGAGAGGCTTACTCTACGGAAATTCCCCACCCCCCCAAAAAAATCACAGATCCAGTGTATAAACAAACAAGCCGAGTACTGAATGGCGTTGAATTGGATTGGGACCCTAGAGTCCAATCCCCAAAACTGACAAACAGGGGAAACTGAGGCCCAGAGTGGTCATGCTGCTCTCGTCAGCATCAAATCTTCTGCCCCCTGAGCCCAGCCCAGAGGCTGTATCTTCTTTGCCACCCCCACCCACCCAATGAGGCCTTGAACTTAAATCTCTCCAACCCCTAGACAAGGCCCTTGGGAGCAATCATGTCCCAGCCTGATGACTTTTAGTCCCAATTCAACGAGTTCTACTGCCCAGCTTTTGCATTCCAGTCGTAAGGGCCCAGATTAATCGTCTTGTGTTGCCTCTGTCACATACAGGGATATATTTTCTTCTCGGAATTTACAAGTAGTTCCATCTGAGAAATAAACAACCAGAGATAAAAATTACATTGTCACAGTGCAGGTGTGATAGATGTAAGAACCAAGTCATTCCAGTCGCCAAGGAGGGACTCAGCTGACAGAATCCACTAAATGAGGCCTGGAGGAGCCCCAGGTAACAGGAATGAGATGCTGATGGGATCGGGTTGGGCTGGGGCTGCAGGAACTCTGCGTTTTACATTTCATCACTCTAAATCACAGGGTTCCTCCGCCTGCCTCCTCCAAGCCAAGGCAAAGTGGTGATTGGCAGGGATGCCATCCCTCACCTCGCCAACCACTGGGCACCAGGGACTCTGGCTTTCTGGGAGCGGTGGAGTGGACCCCTGGCTTTCAGGGACCGCGCTGGAAAGATGTCTCAAGGTGGCCTTGACACAGGCTCTGGGAGAAGATGACATCTCTGTTTGCTCTCCCCACCAAAATACCACTCGGGTGATTTTATGGGACTCTTCCACCGAAAGCCACCTGCCTTGCCGATGGACCAGAAGGAAAAAAGGTAGAGTGTGTAAGTGTCAGTAGAGATGAAGACTCCACTCTCAAACCTTGGGTTTGTGTTTGTGTGTGTGTGTGTGTTTCTGATTTGAGCATAACTGTTCCTGAAGCTGAAGCCATCATGTCAGGAGAGGAGGTGTGTGATAGCCCTTCTCCAGAGGGAAAAGGGTGCCCTCCCTTGCAGCAAGAAACACCCTCTGTCGCCTAGATGTACCCTGGAAATTTAGTCCAATGTCCTGACCTGCTAGGAAGGGGCTCTGCCTGGAACATAGGCCTTGGGGAAGCAAGAGTAGGAAAATAGGAAATCCTGGTTGTCCTCACGCCCTTTTATGGTGCCCCCAACCAGAGTGCGGCTGCACCAGAGGCCCTACAACCTAAGGTAGGCCAAAGCAGCTCTGTCCTAACTCCTATAGAGATAGAAGCCTGGGTTGTGAGCAGGATGGTTGTGGCCCAATTCGCCCTATAGTCTGAAATAGTCAAAGGGTACATGGCATTTCTGAGTTAGGCACAGGGGGTCCCCCAGTCTGGAATGCCTCTGCATTCTCCTCTCCATCAGCTGGAATCCCTAACTTCCTTGACTGCTCAGCCCACAAGCCTCAACCATAGCGGATGCTTATTAATGGATACTTCTTTGTTTTGTTCTCCATGTTTTGACTGGTCCTGTGATTATATCCACATAGGGAGTGCCTGGCGAGGAAATCTCTCTACTGGGGCAGAAGACACCAGCTCGGCAATTTATAACCTTATAGGATTGCCTGGGGTATTGAAAGGTTAAGTGATTTAACCCAACTCACACAGACAGCTTGGGTCAGAAGTGAGGCCTAAACCCAGGTCTTTTCTGAGTTTGAGGCCCGCTATTTCCTCCTAATAAAAGTTTACTGAATTTACTTCAATTTGATTCGATTTATCAGCAAAAGAGTATGAGGAAAATAGTGGTTTCTCATGAACCTTGGGGGAGAAGTAGCCATCCAGTTGAATTATTGTTTTTCTGAGTGGTAGGAAAAGCACTGAAATATAACAGAAGGGCGCTGGATCTGGAGGTAGCAGGGTACTGGGTTCAAATTCTATCCCCAAGATGTGTTGGGACCATCGACAAACTCACTTTGCACCTCTGTTTCCTCATCTGTATAATGGAGGTGTGAAATGCCTGCCTTACCAAATCCAATGTGTTGTTGTGAAGGCCAAATAAGTAAAAGGCTTTGGATATCTTAAAGACCTCTAAAGATAGTGGTCAGCCAATAGCATCATTAGGGATGCTACTGGATCTCGGTTTTTCCTCTACTATGCCTTGGCCAAAGGGAGGGATAACCTCCAGTAAGCCAGTGATTGATAGGAATGTGTAGATGGAGCCCCAGAAGCCCATTGTTAACCAGGAAGCTCCCTGATTGGCTGAGCATGAGTCTGGGATTGAAGAAGAGACCAGTGAATTTCATGCAGGGGACCTGATTGGGCTAACCCTTAGTTGGGGACTAGGAAGAGAAGGAAAGGGAGAGGTGGGGGGAAGGACCAAAGAGCTCCTGGACTGGGGAAACAAAGAGCAGGCTCCCTTGTGGGAGCCCAGGAGCCAGTGCATTTAGGGAACAAAGATGGCAGACTTTGGGCTAGGTCAGGAGGTGTAGGAGACATCAGGTTCAGTATTTTCATAGACTGTATTTCTGATGACCTTAATTTGCATATTCTCCTGAATTTATATACCGCTTTTTCTTATTTCAAGCCCCTAGCCCCTCTTGTTATGGTTGGAATAATCCCATATCTTTCCCTTTCTTCTCCAATCTCATCTTCACCAGCTACCAAAATAATCTTAGAATCAGGATTGTAGAGCTAGAAAGGGCCTCAGAGGCCAACCAGTCCAATCCTCTCATTTTACAGATGAGGAAACTGAGGTCCAGGGAGGCAGGGAGAGTCACAGAATCACAGCCCTAGAACTCAAGGGGACTCAGAGGCCACTGAATCCAATCCCGTTTTACAGATAAGGAGAATGGAGGCACAGAGAGGTTAAAGTCAATCAATCAATCGACAAAGACTTACTGAATGCATACTGTATGCTAAGTGCTCGAGCTACATAGAAAGGCAAGCACAGACCAAGCTGGCATTCTAATGGGGGGGGGATGATAGGCAAACAGCCTTCTATATAGAAACGGGAGGTCATCTCAGAAGAAAGGCACTGGGAGCTGGGGGCTGGGGGCAGCTAATTCATCCTGAGTCAGGAGGCCAGGAGCTCAGAGAGCTCTCCTCTCTCTTTGTCTGTGTCTGTGTGTGTGTCTCTCTCTCTGTCTCTGTGTCTCTCTCTCTCTATTTGGAAGGCCCTAACTGGTGCCCATAAGAGATGCCTGCTCTCGCCAATTCTCTGCATATCTGTCTGCAGTAGAGTTAGAATGGGCTCTCCCTTATCCACAAAGAGGAAGCTGGTGACTCACTGTCAGCATGATCATACAATTGTCAGATGAGGAGCTCACATTGAAACAGGGCTTCCTGGTTACCGAGCATTGTCTCCTCAGAGCCACACAGCAGCCCAGGGAGGGAGGATGGGAGTGAGGGAGGGTGGGAAGGAGGGAAGGTAGTATCCAGGGATGGTGAGGGTTGTCATGCTCATTTTGGGGAGGAGGAAACTAGGGTTCAGAGGAGCGACTTGACTGAAACCCTGCAATAAATAAATGGAAGGGCCAATATTCAACAAGGGTCTTTTCATTCTGCCATGCTGATCTGAGGCCCTCTCCACCCCTCCCCCACTACACTGGACCTTCAGTAGTGCAGATGGCATGAGCTCTCTCTCTGTCTCTGTCTCTGTCTCTCTCTCTCTCTCTCTCTCTCTCTCTCTCTCTCTCTCTCTCTCTCTCAAACACACACACACACACACACACACACACACACACACTCTTCCCTCCTGTAGCCAATGACACACATCAGTCTCATCTAGCTTGTGGCACAAGACTGGCTTCCACATGGCTGGCCTTGAACCCAGATCCTAGATCTCCAAATCGAGAGTTACTTATAGAACGCCATATTGTCCCTAAGTGTAATGATAACAATTGTTCCCATTTCAACAGAACTTTTGGAAGGCTCATGTTTTGTATGACTTACAGGTGTTGTATAACACAAGGCCCAAGCACCAGAACTAGGGTGGGCCTCCACCCCGCAGCGGCCCTCCCCACCCCCAGATCCACCCTTTAAGGTTCTCCCCTTTCCTACAGAGTAACCTTAATGGCCCCTCGGCCTTAATGTTGGTTCTGATGCAGCATCCTAAGCAGCACTGGGCCTTCTCATCTGCCCTGCTGCAGAACCTTCTCTATGAGTAATCTCCCCCAATTAGAATGTGAGCTCTTTGACAGCAGGGACCGCCTGTCTTTTCTATCTGTAGTCCCATCACTTAGCTTACAACAAGAGCTTAATAAAGGCTTTTTCTTCCATTCTCTTGATAGAATTATGAACACCTTGAAGGCAGGGACTGTTTGACTTTGTATCGCCAGTACCCTCCACATAGTAGGCGCTTGAAAAATGCTTGTTGATTTTTTATCAAGCATTTCCTTGCAACAATTCACCCCCTATGCTGTCCCCATTTTATAGATGAGGCTACTGAGACTCAGAGAAATGTTGTAATTTGTATAGGGTCAAACAGGTCATAATTAGCAGACTCAGGATTCAAACTCAGGCCTATTGACTCTCAAGTTCTCATGTGACGTCTTCTTGGAATTAAGACATTGGCTTATGTGGGGACATTTGGCCTCGGCCTTGGCCAATCAGAACCATCCTCCTCTTCTCCATCATGAGGCATCCCTTCTCTCGTCCTTAGATTGTAGTTATTTATGTATTATGTAAAAATGTTGGCTTAAAAAAAAAACAAACCAAAGGACTTCATTTAGGTTCCAAAAAATCAATCTGTAAGGCACATGAAGGAAGCAGTCAAAAGAGCCCTGGGTATAGAATCAGAGGATTTGGATTGGCATTCTGGCTGTTCCACTATCTGTGTTCCCTAACCCTTCTGGGCTTTGGTTTCCCCATCTGTAAAATGAGGAGGTTTGACCAGAGCTGGCTGTTCCAGCTCTGGACCTATTATCCTTTGTTAATACTGCCTGTTGGACCTTGGTCAAATTCCTCTATGCCTCAGTTTCTCTAACTGTAAAATGGGGGAATTGGATTGTAGATGACCTTGAAGGTCCCTTTTAGCTCTAACTGGATGATTACATGATCCTATAAGGATGGAGGATGTGTCTCACCAGTAGAGAGTCAGATATCCCAGAGTTCAAAGGGAGGGCAGAGGCCATCCAACCAAGCTTGCTGACTTCCAGAGAGGGGGGACTCACTACTTCCTCTGGCACTGAGAGCTCTAATTGTTAGGAATTTTTTTCCCTGACATCAAGCCAGAATTCTAACTCCTTGTAGCTTGTAGCAATTAGACTGAGTTTTACCCTCAAGGGCTAAGGAGAACAGGTCTAATCCCTCTTCCAATGACAGCCCTTGAAAAATTTAAACCCAGCTACTACATCCCTCT